ACCCCGGCGCAGCCCCGATCACATCAGGAGCTGACCGTGCTTGTTCTAGCGGCTCTCCTGAAGCAAACGAGAATGGAGAAGCAAAGCGCAGAGGCGAGCTCCGATTTGAAAGCACGCAGGACCCCGGGCTGCAGCCCCTCGGACATACAGCATGCATCGCAGGCAGTTGCAGGCACTGAGTGGACAGGACCATGCACAACTTGTAATTACAGCAGTGGGAAGAGAATCCCAAATGCTTGCCTTTTGCCAACTCATGAGACAGTGGTCACCACTAAACCAGTCTCACTCAGGGTGGTCATCCAAGCCATATTTTGTCATATTAAAATGTGAGGGAACAGACCAAGCAGAGAAAAAAAGCCAGCTCAGAGATAGTGCAGCTATGGGATCCTTATTTGTCTTGGTGACTCTAGGTTGAACAGAGTTGGTTTTAACAGTAAAAGGTTTTCCCAGCCAGTGAAGTCAGTGACAAACTCTGCTGATCCCAAAGGGAAACGATCAAGCTTTCCTTTTGATGGGCAAAAGTCAGTGTCAGAGAGAGAATCTTACTAGTCTTCTAGGTAGCAGAGAAAAGCTTCAAAGCATGTGCATCAAAACCCTTAGAAACCCACATCATTAAAGATTAGGCTGCCATGTTGGGTTTTCAGATTACTTTTTTTTTTTTTTTAAGCCAATCTCAGGTTTTGCAGTTTGGCTGATGACTTCTGAATGCCTGATGTGGCAGTGCCACTCTCTCCTCAGTGTCACCCCTGGCTCCTGGGTTGATGGGGTGGGATGTCAGGGCTTCTCTGGGAGATCGGAACTCCTTCCCTTGACTTGGTTGGAGATAACTGCAGAGCCACTGTGATTTTTTGAGTTTTTTTTCCTAGCTAGATGTATGTCAGGGTCATAATGCCTGTGCTTTTTGGGGAAGCCAAGAGGTTTTGTTTTGTTGTGCTTATGGTTTAGGTTTTGATGTCTGGTGTCACCACTGCCCTGTATTTCTGTAAACAGACCAAACTTTTGCTATTTTATCAACATCACAGACCCTGTGAGGAACATCTTTGTGCACAGTTCCCACCAAGTAGACACACATGGTTACACAGTTACTCTTCCAGTGCTAATATAACTGCATTTTTAATATCCTTCTTGTCTTGTTTTCCTATGCTGCCTCCCATGACAGGTGTTAGGATACTGCTAGAGCCTAAAACCTTGGAGTAACATTTATAAAATCAAGAAATCTCCTAAAAGCCTTTGGTGAGAAAGTGACTTTTTGTAAAGGAAAAACACAGTGTTTCTGTCAGTTTTGCTCAAAACCTCCTTATCTCACGGAGCTACCTGGGACAAAGGTGGGGTGTTAGGAAAGTTGCACTAAAGTTGCATGTGATAAGGAACAAAACATGGCAACAACTTTGTTGAGGCTCCAGCCTTGGAAAGCATGATTCATGTACACGAAGATAGCTTGGGTGCTACATGTTCTTGCAGAGCTGCAGAATTATGCTGTGTATTCTTGGTGACAGATGATAAGCCGAATGGAAAAAAATACAAAGGAAAGAAAACAAAAGCCTGGTAAGAGGCGATCCTTATATTTTCTTCTGTAATGTTATTTGTCAGGCAGTCACAGTGATTTGCTATGCCCTGTGAGTCCTTCCAGGTTTTTTGCTGAGGCAATGCCAGTCAAACTGATGTGGTCTGACCTGCGTAGGATAAAAAGGCTTTTGTACTGCCGAAGCGGATTAGAGGAGCCCGTGGGACGCGTCTGACTGTAACTGGTCGCTGCCCTAAGACCCTCTCTGCTCTCTGAGGGCAGATCAGGGACCTCGGTCTAATGGAGAGTCCAGCCCTGTGGCACTGTGTTGGGCCTGTGATGTTATGGTGCAGGTGGGAAAGGCAACTCATCTCTGGAAAGCATAAATAATATCATAAGGAGAATGTGAGTGACATCAGACTATAAAGAAACCTAATACTGTAATAGTGATAGTTCCTAAGCTGGGTGGAATAATGAGCAGCTGTTATCCTTCGACATTTTTGGTGGACCAGTCTACAGCTTCACCACTGAACTTGAAGCTAAAAACGGGATGGCGTCTGTAGCTGCTTTATTTTGGTGACGGCAACTCTTGCTGGTCTGCAGAGGACAGTCAGCAAGCTGCCAGCCTGACACAGCTGGGACCACTTGACAGAGCAGGCTGGGGTTATGCAAGGTGAAATGGAAGAAAAACATTAGAGAAAGGTGAAAGTTTTTTCAAGAAAAAGTGTCTTTGTAAAGAGCAAGGGAGCAAGCAAATGTTGTGTAAGTTGTGTTATTAACAGCCCAATAAGCATGGTTGTCTTGCCTGCTCTCAGCCCATTAGAAACAAGCTATTGGGTATGGTGGTAATGACAAAGATTTTTGCTCTGCTGATGTTCAAAGTAGCCTCCATAAGCTAACATAGACTGCGTTTGTTATGACCCTTAGGGAGTTATCTCCATGTCAGTGACCTT